GGGGGGATGGAGGCAGCAAACAACCATGACATGTGCATACCTATGTAACAATCCTGCAAGATCTGTACACGTACCCCAGAAATTAAAGTATAACGAAAAATAAAATTAAAAAAAGAATTAGAAAAGCAAGAGCAAACCAAACCCCAAATTAGTAGAAAAAATAATAAACATCAGAACAAAAATAAATAAAATTGAAATGAAGAAACTACAAAAGATCAATCAAAAAGTTGTGGATTTTTTTGAAAAGATAAGTAAAATTGACACACCTTTAGCCTAAGAAAAAAAGAGAGAAAATCCAAATGAATAAAATCAGAGATGAAAAAGGAAGCATTATAATTGATCTCACAGAAATTCAAGGGATCGTTAGTGGTTACTATGAGTGATTATATGATAATAAACTGAAAGATCCAGAGGAAATGGATTAATTCCTAGGTACATAAAACCTACCAAGAATGAACAAGGAAGAAATCCAAAACCTGAACAAATCAATAACAAACAATGAGATTGAAGCCATAATAAAAATTTTCACAGTAAACAAAAGCCCAGGATCTCATAGCTTCGCTGCTGAATTACTACCAAACATTTGAAGAGGAGCTAACATCAATTCTACTCAAACTATTTCAAAATAGAGGAGGGGCAGTACTCACAAACTCATTTCACAAGGCCATTATTACCCTGATACCAAAATCAGAGAAACAGAGATTAAAAAAAAAAAAAAAAAGCTAGAGGCCAGTATCTATGATGAATATTAATACAAAAATTTGCAACAAAATACCAGCAAAATGAATTCAACAATAGATTTTTTAAAAGATTAATCATGACCAAGTGAGATTTATCTCAGAGATGCAAGCATGGATCAACATATATGAATTAGTCAATGTGATGCATCATATCAACAGAATGAATGATAAAAACCATATGATCATTTCAATTGGTGCTGAACAGGCATTTGATATAATCAACATCCCTTCATGATAAAAACTTTCAAAAACTGGGTATAGAAGAAACATACCTCAATGTAATAAAAGCCATATATCACAGACCCACAGCTAATATCATCCTGAACAGGAAAAGGATGCCCACTTTCACCACTGTTATTGACCATAGTACTGTAAGTCTTAGCTAGAGCAATCAGAAAAGATAAAGAAGTAAACAGCATCCAAATTGGAAAAAAAGAAATCAAATTATCCTTGTTTGCAGATATGATTTTATATTTCAAAAAACCTAAAGACACCACCAAAAAACTACAACAACTGATAAACAAATTAAGTAATCTTGTAGGATACAAAATAAACACACAAAAATCACAAGCATTTCTGTATGCCAACAGTGAACAATCTGAAAAAGAAATAAAAAAGTAGCCAGGTGCTCATACCTGTAATCCTAGCACTTTGGGAGGCCAAGGCAGGTGGATCATTTGAGGCCAGGAGTTTGAGACCAGCCCGGCCAACATGGTGAAACCCCATCTCTACTAAAAATACAAAAATTTGACTGGTGTGGTGGTACATGTCTGTAATCCCAGCTACTCAGGAGGCTGAAGCAGGAGAATCACCTGGACCCAAGAGGCAGAGGTTGCAGTGAGCTG